AGCAATCGCAGACATCTGCCTTGTTTTGTTCCTTCCCCATGGGGCCACCATGAAACTGGGTCTTCCAGGCCCCCTTCCTGGAGAAATTCAGGCTTTGGATCTTTTAGTTCTGCTAAGAAGTGTGTTTTGGGGTTTTAACCCTGTGATCCCCTGAGCCAGCAGCCCTAAGCGTGCAAGGTCTCTTCTCTGTGTCCCTGTAGTGACAGAGCCCACCACACGTGGTCTGTGCAAGGCCACCACGAGCAGCAAAGCACACCAGCAGCGCTGCAGGCGGCATTTGAGCCCACCATGGAGGGCAGCAAGAGGCTTAGACAGCGAGCTGTGTTTTGGAGGATGGCCTGTCAGAAAATGGGTGCTCTTTTCTGGTGAACTGCAGCCATGACTTGCCATCAGACATGATCATGAGCTCAGGCAGTGTAACAGGTCACCAGCTCGTCTGTGGATCCACCACGGATGTCCCTGTGCCCGTTCATACGGCCCAGGGCAGATGAGTGTGAGGAGGACACATTAACTCCAGGCAGCTTTGCTGTGGCTCAAAAGATGCTGGATTTGGGCTTGCCGCGGGGTGCAAGATAAGAGAGTGTCCTGTGTCAGTTACTGCCACTCACCTGAGCAGTGGCAGTTCCTTAACTCTGTAGGTTGGTTGTGTTTGATCACGTACCCAGAAATGACGTAGGAATTAACCATGAAAATGACAAGGGGGCTGTTTGGTGGCACCCCCATTGCACTGCGGTCATGGGAGCTGGATGATTCCTCTTTGAGAAGAGGATGTGACCCCTGTCATATAGAACGGGGAGATCGGGGGTCTCTGAGTCCCCTTCTCTGAGTTTGGGACAGAAGTGGGGTCTCAACCCGGTGGTGCACATGGGCAGGGCAGTGAGGTCAGTGGTAGCTCAGGACTTGCTGCCTTGTTGTTGTATCATCTGCCATTTCATTGCATGAGATCATCATACCCTAACCAGTTCTCACCAGGGTTCGCTCCGTGGTGGAAGGCCCTGGAAGGGCAGAGTGCTGGTCCTGGTTTCTCTCAGTCCTGGGGTCTCACCAGAGCCATTGCCCAGCCTGCTCTGCCAGGGCCAAGAGAGCTCAGAGACAGTGAACAGAGCAAAAAGGATCTTCTCTCCCCAGGTTCCCCATTACAGTCATCTTTACACCAACGCTAGAAGGAGAGACGGCCTTCAACGTCAAATGTGATGTCACGAGGAAGACTAAGCCTCTCCGCCTGAACATCAAGGCCACGGGCTATAGAGCGAACGTGTCTGTCAGGTGTGAGGACGGCGACGGCCACGTCATTGAACTCACTGCACAGAAGATCAACGTCATTGATTTCAAGGAGGTGAGCAGCACCAGTTCCCTGAACCGTTTGCCCCACAAAGCCCTGCAAGGTTGGACCTTAACCAGGAGCTTTGCAGATCTGTTTGAACAAGAGGGAATGTTTTTCTTCATTTCTGGGTCTCTAGAGGGAGGGAGATCTTTCAGACAGGTCATCAGCTGAATGTGAGAGATGAAGGAGCACTTTGCGTGTGCCTGTCATGGGCCGGTCGTGGACCGGAGCGTGGGTTTTGTTTGTGTTCTTGGGAACAGAATTAAGACTCAAAACGGAGTCAAGAGCCAAGCAAATTTTTGAGAGGGAGAGAAATGCTAAGGGAGAGAGAGAAAAGAAAGGAGAGGAAGAGTTAGAGGAGAGGTACCACCACGTAGTTGCAGTGTTGCCCAGTGGTTGTGGGGGGATGTTCTGTCTGCCGCCGCGATGTTCCGATGATGTCACGGATGCCGCCTTCTCCCTCTTCTTCTCGCTCCCTCCTCGATGTTGGTCGGTACTGTTCCTTTATTGGGGTTTTTCATTACCTATTCATACTTCTGAGAATCATTTAGCACATTCCAAGAACAGTTGTGCTTAACCCCACCCACCACCCAGTGGTGGTGCACATGCCCAGTACCATCACTCGGGGGTCTTCTGGGGTCTTCAAGCCCCTCCGTTCTTCAGACCCCGGCTCTGGGTGCGTGCGTGGCGGTTAAGTTGTTATAATTTGTTCAGGGACTCTGTAGCTCGGTTGGTGGTTTTTGCTCAGCTGGTGGTTTTTCTTTCCCGTAATGTTCAGACAGATATCGTGATCGGTGCGTTTTTGTTACAGCAACGTTGAGACAAAAATTTAACGTGGTCCTTTACACCACGCTGTGGCTCAGCATTGCTTCTCCAAAGATGGTTCTCCGTGGTGGCATAAGTGATAGAGGTAGAGAAAGAAAGAAGAGAAACAATAATAGCTAATAACAATTCGAATACGATTCATGGATTTGACGGATGGACCACTCGGTGGATAAGGAATTGGCTGGATGGTCAAACTCAGAGTTGTGGTCAATGGTTCAATGTCCAAATGGAGGCCAGTGACGAGTGGTGTTCCTCAGGGGTCAGTACGGGGGCCTGTACTGGTGGCTGAGAAGCTCACCATGAGCCGGCACCGTGCGCTGGCAGCCCAGAAAGCCAACCGTGTCCTGGGCTGCATCCAAAGCAGTGTGGGCAGCAGGTCGAGGGAGGTGATCTGCCCCTCTGCTCTGCTCTTGTGAGACCCCACCTGGAATACTGCGTTCAGCTCTGGGGCCCCAACACAAGAAGGACATGGAGCTGTTGGAGCGGGTCCAGAGGAGGCCACAGAGATGATGCGAGGGCTGGAGCACTACTGTTATGGAGACAGGCTGGGAGAGGTGGGGCTGGTCAGGCCTTCCAGTACCTAAGGGGCGCCTACAGGAAAGCTGGAGAGGGACTTTTTACAAGGGCATGGAGCGATAGGACAAGGGGTAATGGCTTTATACTGAAAGAGGGGAGATTTAGGTTAGATCTTAGGAAGAAATTCTTCACTCTGAAAGCAGTCAGGCACTGGAACAGGTTGCCAAGAGAAGTTGTGGCTGCCCCATCCCTGGAAGTGTTCAAAGCCAGGTTGGATGAGGCTTTGAGCAGCCTGGTGTAGGGGAAAGTGTCCCTGCCCATGGCAGGGGGGTTGGAACTGGGTGATCTTTGAGGTCCCTTCCAACCTAAACTATTCTGTGATTCTGTGATTTCCACGCCCCCTGTCCAGAGCGCATGTGTGATTTGGATGTAGAAATTTTTGTCTCAGATTTAGGCTGTCAATGTCTTGCACCACCCCGTGAACCCTTGGTGGTTTCAAATATTTTATAGAATTGGTACTGTCGGCGGCGCGGTTTGGCGCGCAGCACGAGTTTGTTGAACGCCGTCAGGTGAAACAGGAGTCACAAACTGCACATGAGCTACGACACGTGGAGTTAATTGGATAAAGCATGGAATGATACATGGCAAAAACATCAACATGGCAAAACCACCTATCAAATAAAATAGGATTCGCTTAACCCATGGACCACCAGGGAGCCGGGAAAACATCTCAACGTTCCAGCCTTTCCATGTCTGGGCAGGAACATGGGCCAGCTTTCGCATTTTTTTTTGCAGTAATTTGTTTAACAGTTTCCCCGTTGTTGTCAATTTTTAAACAACAATCAGAATCATTTAGTTTGCCACAAACACTTCCTTCTTCGGCTGACAGGTAATCAAGAACCACACGGTGTTGTGTTACTGTAGTTGGCATTTGTGTGGCCTGATGTGCCAACAGATCAAGGGCACGGGCTGTCTCATCAGCAATGATCTCTAGGACAGCTTGCGGGCGAATAGTACGATTTAGATGGTAGAGAGGTTCGTGAGCACCACTGATCCACTCGCTGGGGTTCCAGGTGGCAGGTCCATAATATTCTGTGATATGTTGAGGGGTCCACTGATCTTTGCCCCAGGTTTGACCACTTCCACTTGTTTATAGAGGTATCAATGGACCAAAAGCTATCAAATCGTTTTTCATGTCCCGTTTCATTGACCCATGCCCAACTTGGCCTGCGAGGGATGAGTTTTTCATCAGTGGTGGTGCTCAACATACACCATAACATGTTGCCTTTGACGGGAAAAGAGTGGTTATAGGTTGGACAATTAATGGGTCGACACCCTGGGATGACACAATGGTTTCCATACTTAAATGTCCAATTACCCACAGGATGACCCACAAAAACTCGATTATTGTTGTTCCGATTAAGATAATATTCTCCCTTTTCTGGAACTTGAACTTTCCAGGGGTTTACCTCCTCATTCCAATGTGACGCGTCATTACCAATGGTTATGTCACTGACGAGCCATTTTGGAGATACTGGTTTTGATGTCCATGGCCAATCCTTAAATCCTAAAGGGCCTCCACATACCCAACAATCAGTCAGGGTAAAAGCGTTGGCCACCTGCTGGCCTAAGGTCATAAACTCATTTTGCCACCCCAGGCTGGAGAGGGGGACACACGAGTTTCCTCTAGTGTTAAAGATGGTGACAGTGGTCGACCAGAACAGTGTCTGTGCTGGTGTGCTGTACATCCTGTGAATATTAACGAAGCGATTACTGGTAAAATCACACGGATAATCAGCAGCTTCAGGTATTTCTTCAGGCAAGCTTCAGAGATTTTATCTAAAAAAGAAAAGAAAAACAAATTTGGTTCGTTCTAAGGAACTGGAAGCAGATTGTTACCAGAAGGGTGGAACAATCCACCTGGTGTGGATCTCTCAGGAGCACACGGATAGCGTGATCGGTGCTTTTTTTGTTACAGCAACGTTGAGACAAAAATTTGACGTGGTCCTTTACAGTGCCCCGAGCCCTAGTCCTCACCAGCTTCTCCCCGCAGGTACATCTGAACGAGAACATCAGGCGCACCTTCAGCATCAGCAACAAGGGCAAGTTCAGCTGCGCCTTCTCCTGGTACCTGAGCGGCCCCGCAGCCTGTCTGCCGCTCCTCGCCATCACCCCTCCGACGGGCACCATAGAGGCAGAGGGCGAAGCCGAGGCCCAGCTGGCATTCCACCCACAGAAGATGTGCACGTTAAAGGACGTCAAGCTGACGCTGCAGGTGAGGCACCAGCGTTTCACAGGGGACCTTCGCCTTCCCCGCGCAGCAGCTTGGCAGCAGGAGCCCAGAGCTTGGGGTGGGCTCCGTCGCTAAAGAGCCTGATGGAGGCAAAGGGGACATAAGGAGCTGCCGAAATAACGAGCCCGACAGATTCTGAACGGAGCATTTTAATAAGTGCTCATCCAGGGCCACCCTTTCCCTCTTAGACCAAGCCTTCCACCTTCTATTTCCATTCTGGGGTCCTTTGGCACTTGCTTTGCCAGCTGTCCCCTGTCCTCTTCCTCAGCGGTCTCTGGTGTTTGCGGTTGTAGTTCCTGTCTCTTCAGCTGGCTCATGCTGTCTTTCACCCCACCAGATCAACAAGGGTCCCACGTTTACCTGCGTGTTCCTGGCCACCGTGGTAGCGCCCGCTGTGCACTTCTCCACCACCAAACTCAACTTTGGACCCAGCTTCATCTACCAGACTGGGATGGTGCCTGCCCAGCAGACCCTTTACATCACAAACAAGGCAGACAAGGATGTGAGGTGAGCCTTCTCCGCACACTCCTCTGGTCCTCCCTTAGCATCTGCCTGCTCCATGTCCTCCTGACCCCTGAGGATGCAGGGAGAGGAGACAGGAGGGCCCTAGGTAGCCCTGGATGTTGTCATCTGAGCACACACAGCCTTGTAACACCTCTGCTCCTCTTTGCTGTGCTTTCTGCCAGTTTGGACTGCCTGTTCACCAGCACCCTGCACCTGGAGGTGCACTTGCCAAGCCGCGTCCTGCGGCCAGGAAGGACGATGGAGGTGCCCGTCACTTTCTGTCCCAGAGAAGTCACATCTTATCACGAGCTCGTCCCGTTTGAAATCAACGGTCTTTGCCGGCAGACTGTTGAGGTCCAAGGAAGGGGCATGGAAATGAAGGTGAGATGAAATCCAAATCCTAGAACTCCACGTAGCAGGTGGCCAGCGTGGCCTTCTCTCTCTTTCCTCCTCTCCTCCCCAGCGTACCGTGTGTTGGTTTTCTGCCACAAGGGTGGAGGAAAACCTTTTCTCCTCCTTTCTTTTCACTTCATATTAATCCCTTCTGGCTCAGGTTGATGTCGTAGAACCACAAGGAAAAGTGGTGGCGCTGGGAGCCCTCTCCATCGGGCAGACGGTGAAGAAGACTGTCACCATAGTAAACAACAGCACCGCCCCTGTCCGTTTTAAGCTCAGTCTCATCTCCACCATCCCAGAGCTGCAAGAAGCTGGGGTAAGGCCCTTTCCTTCACTGGAGAGCACTTTGGTGTGCCAACAGGGATGCCCGCAGGTAGCAGTGAGGTGCTCGGGGTGGGAGCCAGTAGCTAATTACGGTTGTACGCTGCCCTGGCTGTCTGTGTGCCATCCCATCCTCCCTGCTGGGACCAGCAGATACTTGCAATGGGAATGCCTCGGCTCAGCTAGGTGTCAGGACTCCCCTCATAGCCAAGAGTGAGAAGAAGGTACAATTCCACTAACCTGGGTTAGATACGTGAGGATGCAGCTGTGTATTATAGATCTGGAGAGGTAAGGGAGATAAAGGAGTCTCTAAAGACAGAGTTACAGCTCTCTTGGAGATTTCATGACATCGCTTTAGAAGACACAGTTCAGCTCGCCATGACCAGTTGGACACGTCACAGGAAAACACCTTTGGCACCTGGGAATGTATACGAGGGAGTGGGATTGGGGCGATGTTAGTGGGGACAGAATAGGAATTGGAATGCTCTTCTCTGACTCTGGTGATGGAGGAATCACAACTCGGTTGCCAGGTGAAGTAATCTCCACTCATTTCTTTGGGCAGGTTCTCTCCTTGAACCCCACCAAAGAAATACGTCTAAAGGCCGAAGGAGGTACCTGTAAAGTGGAGGTGACCTTCTCTCCAAAATGCCGCATCCAGCCGTTCACCGAAGAAGTGATGCTGCAGTGCCGTGGCCTGGTGCGCTCCCTCTTCGTGGTGCGGGGCTCCTGCCGGGGCATCCATGTCAGCTTGGACCAGGAACACCTCAGCTTTGGAGCAGTGCTGCAGAAGAGCTACGCATGCCGGCGCATCATCATGCAGAACATGGGCGACATAAGAGTCAAGTAATTCAAAACCCTGTCCTTTCTGAGGGCTGAGTGCTTGGAGGAGGGTTGGATGGAGTTGTAGCTTGCCCAGATAGTTCTCCTCTGCCTTTTCATCCCACTGGAGAGCTGTGCAGTCAGGCCCTGGAAGTTAGCAAGGGATACACCCAAAGGCTTGGTTCCGGATGGGTGAGAGCTGCCAAACCTGAAGCCTTATTGCCAGGTGGCTCAGCATCATGCCTGAGATCTGATGGAAAAGCCCACGAGAGGATTAGAACCAGCACACTGCGTTCACAGCCTGCCCGGTGCTAATCCTCCCTTCCTGTCCTTGTGCTTTCCTTGGCAAGGTTTAAGTGGGACATCGAGAGCTTCAAGCCGGATTTCTCCATCAGCCCCACGAAGGGTGACATCTCCCCAGGAATGAATGTCCCCTTGCTTGTGACCTTCCATCCCTCTAAGCCGAGCGATGCCATCCAGTACGACGGCCTGCAGTGCTTCATCGCGGGCAGGGAGCCGCTCCGCCTTACTCTGGCAGGATCCTGCACGGAGACCCCTCTGATCAAAGAGGTAACCAGGGCAGAGACAGGATGGGTCCTCCCCTTACGCCACCGTTTGCACCACGTCTCCCCCAGGGCACGGACTGGGGGACAATTACATGCACAGACTCACTCCTGCCTGGGTATCCCAGAGAGCTGAGAAAACCTCTGGGCGGGATTCCCAAAATTTGAGCCCCATAATTGCCTTCCTCCCCTGTTGAAGGTGCCGCTCCTGCAGCGAGCACCTCGGCTCTCCTGGCTCTGCGTTGGGGCACCCTGCAGGGCTCTTCTGAGACCCTCCCCACAGAGCCCCCCAGCTATACCCACAGTATTGCACCCGCAGCCACGCTTTTCTTCCCTGTCCTTCCAGGACTTCCCGTTTTCTTTCTCCCCTCCTCAGGAGGCGGCAGCCTCCTTCACCCAGCACACACAAGACTCGTACCTCTCCCTTCTCTAAGAGCCGACAACTCGATTTACACCAAAAGTCATGAGTCAAATGGAAATTTTTGCGTATGACGAGGAAAAGCTGCTGCCTGTGTGTAGAGATGGTCGGAGTCTGAGTGGCAAAGCGTTCCTTGGTAGGACCAAGCAGCATTTTTGCTCCTCTGTTGCAGACGCTGACTTTCAAGGGCAACGTGCGTGAGGAGCTCAGCCAGGTGGTCCTCCTGTCCAACCCAAGCAACGAGGCCTGGACTGTGAGAGCGGTCATTGAGGGGGAGCACTGGAAAGGGCCTGAACTTTTCCATCTAGACGCCAATCAACAAAACAAGCCCTACAAGATAACCTACAAACCGCTGACCACAAGCTCCGAGAAAAAGAAGCATGAGGTACGTGAGCTGTGCCAGCGTGCTGACCCTCACCGCGTGACCCTCGTGGCTCAGCAGCTTTGGGCAGGAGGTTGGACGAGGTGACCTTCAGAGGTCTCCTATGAACTGAAATTATCCTGTGATCCTGTGTTGGAAGCTGGATGTCTTGGCGGCTAGAGGCCAGGTGTAAGGAAACTTCTGGTGGGAAGTCTGGACTGACTGGAGCTGCTAACCGAAAAAGCCTGGTAGTCTGAAGGTCCAGGAAAGGAAATTTGTTCTGTGCAGCTCCCAGTCCCTGCCTGCGCAGCCCAGAGGGGGCTCAGAGACCCCCGTGCTCAGCCCTGTGAGCTGTGCAGGCTTCCCAAGCCCTGGGCACCCCCACTTCTGCCAGCACTGGGATCCTTTTGCAGTGTGCAGGGAACAAGAGGGGTGAAGCCGCCCTGCCATTTCTTAGTGACCCCCCAGCCACAAGCAGTCAGGTGGGAAACGACACAGACATCTCTCTTGGCATCACCTTGAGCAATGCAGGAGCTTTGGAAAGAGCCCCTCGTGAAGGTCTCGGGCTGGGCAGGTGGGGTGACTGGCCCCTCTGTTTTCATGAGTGCTGTTTCTGAGACACACCAAGGACAAGCTCTTAAATCGGGGGGGTCAGTTCAGAGCAGCTCTGGGGTGCTGGAGGTGGGTGTCAGACACCTGCCCCTTGTCCTCCTCCAGCTGATCTCACACCACGCCAGAACTTAGGCCAGAGCAAGAGTGGAGGCCGGGGACTTGTGGGCTCGATCTCCAGGGTGTGGAGCAGATCTGTAGGGTTGTGTATGCTCAGCATCTCTCTAACGTACAGCGTTGCACGAAGAGTCCTTTCGTCTCCTGTGGAGGAAGAGGAGATGCCACAGGCAGGTGGCTGTGACCCATTGGCACCTGAGACAGTACTGGATATGAGCTTTTTGTGGTCCAGCCTGGCTGGTGGGACCCAGGTTGCTCTTCTGGCGTTAATGTTGGGGCTACTGCTGGCACTGCCAGGGCAGTCGAGCTTAGCCAGGGCTGCCACCCCCTTACCACGGCCGTCCCTGCACGAGCACGGGGCTGGCAGCTGATGTGCCCGGGTTAGTAAGGCAAGAAAAGGGGCATTGGGATGGTCAGAGACCAGCTCTGCTGCAGGCTCGGTGGTTCCTTGCTTTGCCCAGACGTGGTGCCTCTGTGTCCTGTAGCTGTAGCAGCCCGAGTAGGTACGACATCGCCGTCTCCACCTGCGCAGGACACAGGGCTGCGGTCCCAGCTCTGCCAGCTGGGCTTGCTCCAAGCTGTTCAGGTGACAGCCTGAGACATGGGACTGTCTGGGTGTACTTGAGAGCCAGGAACCGGTCAGGACAGAGAGCAGGAAAACTCACTTATCCTATTTCTCATCTCCAGGGCTCCATCTTCTTCCCATTGCCAGACGGAACAGGATTGTACTACGTCCTGCAAGGGACTGCTGAGACCCCAAAGTGTTCAGGGACCGTTTCCCGGCAGGTCCCATGCAGGACTTCCTACACTGAGCTCATCCCTGTTTCCAACTGGCTGAACAAACCACAGAGGTGAGTGGGGCCCCAGAGATCTTGTCTCATCCGCAATCCCTGCAGCAGCTCAAGGAAGGGCCTCCCACTGCCTGGAAGCTCCTTCCTGCAAGCTTTTCACTCTCCTTGGCTGTTTCTGGCCATAGGTGTCTGGGATCGCCTACACAGACCCATCCTGGAGGGCTTTCCTCCAGGGTGGATGAGAGCTGGCTCCCTCTGCCTGAGGCATTGAGGATGAGGGGGGCTGTGTTGTACCCCTACACAACGGGTATCCTGTGAGAGTCCTTCCTGTTGACGTTCCCTTCCTCCTTCTCACTCGCAGGTTCCTCGTGGTAGTGGACATGCTCAAACCAGAAAAGCTGGAAAGCAGTTCTGTGCTGCGAGGGCCAGAATACATCGACGTGCCAGGTTCCACCACGAAGGACTATGAGCTCACGTTCCAGTCCTACAAGGAAGGAGTCTTTAACGCAATGGTGAGTGAGGACACCAGACTGCGGGGCCTTTTAAGGAGCTGTTAGCTCACAGAGAAGCCACAGACTTGTTTTCATACCTCCATGTGCCCTCTGGTGGGACTGTAGGTGTCCTAGGTGGGTACTGAACAGCAGGCACCTCTCCACGCACCCCACTTGTGTCAGTCTCTGTGAGGGTCCCGCCAGGGGCTGCCAAGCACAGGTGGGTCAGGACATTGGTGAGGTGGAAGCGATGGGCAATTGGGAGTCCACAAAGTGGAAATACCTCACGTGCTTTCCCCAGTCTTGCACTCGTCCTGGGTGGCTGCTTACGGCCGTTCTTGGAAGGAGGGGGCTGAGCTAGAGGGACTCTTGGGGCAGGCTTAGCCCAGCTGGTGGGTTTTTATGTGCAGAATGATCAGCACTTAACATTTTTCTCGCATTTAGGTGACCTTCCTCAACGAGGTGACCAAGGAGTATTTATTCTACATGGTGACTTTCAAGGCCACCGCTTCGGGACCCATCAGTACTGTAGAATTGACCACCGCTGTTCGGCAGAGAGTGTCTTCCACCATCAAGGTGGACAACCCTCTGCGTGTCCCGGTGACGTTTACGGTGGATTGCAAAGTGCCCGACATCAGCGTTCCATCACGTTTCACTGTTCCTGCACAGTCGGAGGTAGGAGCAAAGCTCATCCATTACACTCTCCCCTCCCTGTGGTCTTTGTGGGAGCGGGTGAGGGTGATGCCCTACATGAACCCTCTGGAACCCTTTCCAAGGGTGACAGCTCCCACCTGCTAATAATCTGGAGGGGAAGCAGTGTGTGAGAACATCCCTGGTGGGAATTGCCCAGCACTGGTGGAGTCTGCCATGCTACCCCTTGTGATACGGTCCCATCACACCTCACGTGTCAGGTCCTTGTGCCACGTGCTCCTTCTTTCGTGTGGGTATTTTGAGTTTAGAGCGGTTGCAGGGCACGTGTTTTAGGGAGGTTGGAGGATTTGGCAAGGAGACACACACACATGACAAAGCCCAATACCAGCACTGTTTATTAGTCAGCAAAATGACTCATTCACTCTCATTTTTCACTCGCTTCGTCCGTCTCCTGCTGTTTCCCCCACGGGAGAGCAGACCCGCGGATCACAACTCCGCACTCGCTTCGTACCATGAGCACGTCTCAGTCACCCAGGCACACGCAGGACGAGATGCCAGAGTTCAGAGTTGTGTTGGTGACGTGTTCCAGACACATCTATATGTGCTTAGAAACCCTACAGGCAGTTTGCCCGCACGCTGCCCTGACCCAGATCACTTACAGACTCGCCAGCGCTGCTGCCTCTGTTGTGGTG